ACGGCTGGCTGGGAAATTCTGGAAGTTGATGACCATATGTTTTAAAATGGCTTACTTTGAAAAAACACTGTTTTAGACTCCTCTAATCCAATGCAGTTCTTGGCAGCTTTACAGAAGTGGTTTACCACTGTTTTCTCTCGTTTAATATTTCCTGGTGGTCTCTTTTTCCAGTACTAAGGAGCCAACCCTTCATAACTTGCATCCTCACACAAGGTCTCCCAGCCAGTATGACTTGCAGAGCTCCCAGCCAGTACGGCTCACATTGCTGGGAGTTCTTGTTTGAGGTTGCAAGCTGGGAAGGGTTGGCCCTGATTACTACTGGAAAAGAGACCACCAGAAAATCTTAGACGAGAGAAAACAGTGGTAAACCACTTTGGTAAAGCTGTCAAGAACTGCTCTGAATTTGAGGAGTCTAGTTTTCCAAAGTAGGCCACTTTAAGACATATGGACTAGGAATTTCCAGCTATTTATTTATTTTATTAGTTCAATTTATATGCCGCCCTCCTCCGAAGACTCAGGGCGGCTTACAATGCACTTATAGCAATAGCCTTCATTCTTTTGTATATACCTGCTTATTAGGGCTTTTGGCCCCCCATAAACGGTGTTTCTACAAAGTCAGCTTATTGCTCCCACAATCCGGGTCCAGCTAGCCAGGCTGTTACAATACATACTGAGAGTTGAAGTTCAGTTATCTGGAGAGATTGCTGAAATCTGAACTCAGGAGTCTTAGCACACCCAGATTGAAATATCTGCAAATCTGGGCAAAGATGAAAGAAGAAAGGAAGGATTGACCCCTTGCAGCATTTGAGTCAAACTGGGGTGTTACTTTACATTTAAAAATGACAGAGAAGAATTGTTCACCACATTTTCTTGGGAACCCATTCACTGCCATCGTGTCAAGCTGCCTTGTTACATTACATTCATTTTATCCATTTCTCCCCTTTCTCTAAAGTTTGTTTCTTGGCACTCCTGAGCTGTTGTCGACTGTCATTTTATTTTCCCAGAATGCCAAGCGGTGTTGATGTCAGAGCTTTCCAGGGTTTGTGTACAGGAATGTCCATATAGGGTGGTGTTTCCTAACTCTATTCACTTCCAGTGGTGTAAATCTCAGATCCCAGAATTCCACAGCCAGGAAAGCCACTGTTGAGAATTCTGGGAATTGAAGTCCACATGTCTTAAAGTGGCCAAAGCTGGGAAACCTTGATGTAGTAGAGAGTTAAAAAAATTAAGATGGCTTCTTGCAGACATGACATGTCATTTTTACATGTGTTCTGCATGCATGATCCAAGTAAGACATGATTGCATCATCATAGCCACCATTTTTGACCCCTCCCCCGATTACTCTGTTTGAATTTTGACATCTTCCCATAAAAAAAAAAATCTAAATATGGTATTCCCTTCCCCTATGTTATGGCAATCACCAAGGTCAAGATGGGACAGCCCTTTTCATAGAATTAGTAAAACTAATCTGTTCAAATCAGGGCCAAACCCAAGAGAGGTCAAAGAAGTCAAAATGGCAGCTCAGCTCTGCCTGCGGGATTGAGACCACACCTCCATTAAAAGGGGGTGGGGCTTCAATCATACAGGTGTAGTCAAGTAAAATATTTATCATTGTTGTAGATCGGCATAGGAAGAATAGAATAAAAACAGTATTTTATTTACTCAGAATTAAATAAATAAATAAAAACAGTAAAAGCTTTAAAAGATTTTAAGCTTTTACTTTTAAAAAACAGTAAAAAACTTTAAAAACTAGAAAGAATATAAAATATGTAAAATAAAAAAACCCTGAAAAATCTAAAAACTCAGCTACTGTCAGCCTCTTGACTTTTTTTAATCCTGCTGTGGACATCCTTGGTTAAAACATGACCCCAAAAGTTAATTTAGTATTTTAGGAAGTTCCTCACACAATTCTGCCTACTGAGCTTCAACAGACAAAAAACAATGAAGGAAAAAGAGACTCAGATACAGGTGCAGTCTGAAGAAAGTACAGAAATGGGGCTGAAGCTAAGATTTTGCTCCTGGGTCTGTCAGAGAAAGTCTGAATAAAGAAGAAAATATAAAAAAAGACTTAAATAAAGGAGAAAAAGAAAGGTTTGGTGTCATGAGAGAACCTGGCAGAGATAGGCCAAAAAACCAAGATGGTGGCAAGTGGAGCAGCCATCTTGACCTTTTTGCCCCCAATCCTATGGACATCCCTTCATTGTATACATTATTCTATTTGAGTTGCAACATTCACGCACCCAGGAGATGGCACTAAAGAGTTACAATTTTCTGTATTGCTTCATTTGGTGTTTTTCAATTTTGTGAGCTTGAAGGCCTGTGGACTTCAACTCCCAGAATCCCCCAGCCAGCATAACTAATTAGGGAATTCTGGGAACTGAAGTCCCCAAGTCTTCAAGCTGCCAAGCTTTGAGAAACACTGTCATGAAGGATTGAGTGACATTATTCCAGTCCACTGTTAACCAAGTCAATGAAGATCTGGCAGATGCATTCCCACAGCATGCTAAGCAAGGTTAATAACCCATAACTTTGGCTAATTTATTCTTTTATGGAATCCTAGAATGAAAAGGTTGGAAGGGGTCCCCAGAGGTCATCTAGTCCAACCCCCTCACCCAGGGTTACCACATCTCCCTCAGAGGCCTTCCCAACTTCCTTTTAAATCCCTCCTGTGAAGAAATGTCCAATCTATTCACAACTGGTGCACTGCTAATATCTTTCCCATCCTTGGCCCAGCTCTGCATTCTAACGTATAAATTTAAATTAAAAAGAAAAAATCTGAACCCCCCTTGACAGGGGATTATGGGAACTGTAATCCGGCACATTTGGAGGTTGTGGAATGCCAATGAACATGGCCATAACATATCCAGGCTAAATTTATCTTAACTCCTCTTCCTCTTCATTCCTCCCGCTATAAGTCCTGCTTCTCAGCCTCAGCAGCCTCAACATTAACTCTCTTGTTTCTGAATTATATTTCTGGCCAGGATACAACCGATTACGTCGCTTATGTTGCCAAGGATCCCATCAACCAGCGAGGTGAGTGTGATTAGAGAAATGGCATGCCCCTTTTTAAAAGCTATCGCCAATGGCGTGGTACAGGAGCTTGCGAAAGGTGATATTTAAAAATTATGCTATGTTTCATCTTTGTGTACAGAGTAATGCATGCACCAGGCGTCAGCAGTTTTTTTTCCATAGCTGATACATCCGTGCATTTTGTGTATATACTCCTCGACTTACCACCATTCATTTAGCGACTCTTCGAAGTTACAACTGCACTGAAAAAAAGTGACTTTACAACTATGGTAGCATCCCTTTGGTCGCGTGATCAAAAATTGGGCATGTGGCACTTGCAATTGGCATGTATTTATATGATGGTTGCAGTATCCTGAGGTCATGTGATCCCCATTTGAGACTTTCCTACCTGGCTTCCAACAAGCAATGGGGGGGGGTAACGCATTGTAAGCCACCCTGAGTCTCCGGAGAAGGGCGGCATACAATGCGTTAAGCAATAGCCTTCATACTTTTGTATATTTATACAAAGTCAGCTTATTGCCCCCATAAACTGGGTCCTCAATTTACCTACCTTAGAAAGGATGGAAGGCTGAGTCAACCTTGAGCCTGGGGAGATTCGAACTTAGAGTAATTGCAGACAGCTGGTGTTAATCACAATGCTATTAGTCTGCTGAGCCACCAGACCCCTATATATGTATATGTAAATATATATACCAGCAGCTATATACATATAGGAAATTCTTTAACCTCCCATTCTCTAAGGAACTATTTCTATGAATTATGTTTAGTACTCTGGTAAATATTTTTGGGTGTTTTCCATACAAAATAGAATTTTGAATTTGTTTTTAAAATCAGTGTAAGATAAATTTATTGGAACAATTGAAATCTGTTACGGCAAAGATATTATTGGCGTTCTTAGTCATGCCTTTTCTTTTTTCTTTTCTTTTCTTTTCTTTTTTTTATGGACAGAAGTTGTTTAGCCACTAGATGGACTCCTAAGTCTATATTACACTACTGGATATAGTTCTGATTACAGAAAGTTTTCCATGAGTCTTCGAGCCTTCATATGTTTTAATATGAATTCCTGCATGAAGTAAGGCATTGGACTCTGTACTCTGAACTTTTCCAACACTATCATTCCTACAATATAGATTTACTGACAGATAAGGATTTTAGAATGAAAAATGATATAATAAGGGACAGAGCATCCTGTTTTTGTTCCCTTATTATGTCAAGATTTTTTTTTTCAAATGATGAGATAAATCACATCAGAGCTGCTTCAAAATGTAGGTGGGAGATAACCTGTCTTATTCTATTGGGTGGGGGGACGAAATTACTGCACATTTATTTATTTTTTTTTAAAAAAAGTTTAAATGCATTTTGCTGAGGCTGAGTTGCTTTCAGTCAAATAGAAAAAGAGTTTAAAATCCATCTTAAATTTTATCTTGTTCAAATTAAGAACTCAGATGTAGTATCTCAGCTGTTTTTAAAAAGTGCATTGTTGTCCTTTTGGATACAATTTGCAAAAGTAATGGAGGAGTTAGTGCATATCCTTTTTATAATATATTTGAGGTTTTTGAAGTTTTAGATAAAATAAAAACTTATTCTTACATATGTAACATTTGTAACTCTAACATTTTAATTGTTGAAAATCTTACTGCACAATATAACACATTGCTTCTGTTTAATATGGTAAAACATAATATGTACACATTTGTGAACTATAAATCTAAAAATTCATATATATTTTAAATGAAGTAATTATAGGAATGTTACACTGTCAATCAGTTATTCTTTTTATTTACTTGTCTAGAATTGCATACATTCAGTTGTATTGTATTTGTAAGATAGAAACAATGGATCAGCAAACTGTCCAGAAGTACTAAAATGTTGAGATAATTTTTAAAAAATCTGCCACTTCTTGACAGCAAGGTGTGTCTGTGTGTTTCTCTTACTTTTTTACTGTCATTTACACTGGAAAACTGACTTTTTAAGCTAATAGTGGTCCTGCGGAGTGATTATATAGAGGATCTGGAATCATTTACAGACCATTAGAGATTACTTAAAACCTTTACTAAAATGGATGAAATATTTATTAGCTTTTTTCTTAACTTCATGCATGAATGGAATGATACTCATATGTGTTTTCCCCCCCTAACAGAGAAAAGGAGAGATCTACCAAATGGTAAGGTTTTTATTAATAACTATAACATGATAATCATTGTACATAACTGCCATCTTTAAGTGCATTTCTGAGAATGATTAGAATGCCCATATTTTCAATTGGTAATATGAATGCAACAGTGAAAAGTCACAAATTATAACAATTTTAATTTTATTCTTGCAATATAAAACATGTACTTGTATGAGAAAGTTCTAATCTTAGTCTTCCTTAACCTGTTTTCACATACTGACAATAGATTGTTATAATTCAAAATTCATTGAGAAATTTCAGTTGCTAAGTAGGAAGAAAATAAAGTATCTGAGGTTTTTGTTTTGTTTTTTGTTTTTTTTTTGTAAGAATTAATTGCATTCTACATTTACACCTTTTCACTTCTCAGCAACCTAATATTGGCACAAAATTGCAATTTATATTTTTTGACTACTTAAAAACAAAACCAATTGAAGAAACTAAGTAATGTAGCATCGAAACAATTGTGGGACGGAGGATTCTTTGTTTTCCAAAAACTGGACAGTATAGCATTTCTGTACATAGTACTTTATTGCAGCACAAGCCTTCCCCAAGAACAGTAAAGGATCACTCCACTCTTTGAGGACTTGCAAGCAGCTGTTGCCACATAAATATGTCTGTAATACACAGTCCTTTATACATAGTCTTTTAAAACTCAGTTCAAGGAAAAGTTGGCAAGGTCTATAATGTAGCATACAACCTTTGCTTTTTTCCAAAAGTTCTAGCACTAATTGGGACGAGGTGCTGTTTCAATGTGATTGTTCCTCTTCTAGTTGCTACTGAGCTCTTGGCGAACCTCCAAGCTCCAGACAAGATCCTTTACCAGTATATGCAGCTCACCATAGCTTGTGGTCCTGGCAATTGAATGAAAATCCTCTTTCCTGCTTCTAATAGCTGCCAAACTCCAGATGTTGCCTACGCTTCCCTGCAGGCACTTGCTTTCACCTTTCCTGCTATACACATCCCTCTTCCCACTCTCTTAGCATTTGCTTTTGTAAGCTCAAAAGACTGTGTGGGGCAAGGCTGCCTCTGGAGGTCAGCATGACTTTGAAAATGCCAGTGTTGATCAAGCCAGGAAGCTTGAATACTGGCTTGGATGCCTGTGACTACAGTTCTGAGGGGATTTTATTAATTTATTTTAGTAATCAAATTTATTTAGCATGAATACTTGAAGGAAGTGAGGGAGAAGATTGACTCCCCCATGACTGCAGCTATTTTGGAAAAGACCAGACAGCAACCCCAATCTCACTCCCTCAAAATAGAACTAAATTGGTATTGAATGCATTGCAGATAGTCCTTATCTTACCCTGTGAAGTGAGTTGGGCTGAGAGAGGGTGACTGGCTCATGGCTCCCAGTTGGCTTTTATGGTTAAGGCAAAACTAGAAGTTATGGTCTCCCAGTTTCTAGCCTGATGCTTTGTGACTTTCAACCTGTGCTTAGAGTTACAACTGTCACACCATCTCTGTGGCCATGTGATTGCAATTCAGACATTTGGTAACCAGCTCACATTTACAATGATTGCAGCATTTTGCAGTCATGGGATCATAATTTGTGACCTTCCCAGCTAGATTCTAACAAGCAAAATCAAATGGTGAAGCAGAATTAATCCATTTACAATCACAGTGATTCACTGCATTAAAATTAGATCCTTATTTTGATGACTCACTTAACAACCACATTGCTTGGCAACCAAAATTTCAGGCCCAATTTGGTTGTAAATCAAGGATTACCTGTAACCTATAAATTCTTCGACTTTATGTTTCCAATGCTATTGGTAAAAAAAAAAAATACTGTGTATGCAGCATTTATTGGGGTGACATTGGGGATTTAACAGAATTAGTTTTTATATTCTGGAGTTGTATCATCCATTTTCATTTTTCATGTATGTGATGGATTAGAAACAGATTCATTGTATAAAAGACTTAACCCTTTTGAAGAGCAGCTGGGGAATACCCAGGATCTCAGAAACATGACATTTTATGTTTTGAGAAAACCTGAAGATGGAGAAGATATCAACCTATTGGATATTTGTAGCTGCTGTATTGTCAAGTTGTTCAAAGGATGAAACTCATAGACATCTTTGATCTTCACTAACTTTTAGAAATGGAAAAGTGCTTATGTTGTGATGGCAGGGGTTTCTGTGTTGGATACCAACATAGCAGTGTTAGAAGTGGAAATTCCTTATATTTGTATGTTCCTTATGGACAGCCAAATTCTAATTAGAATGGTTAGTTTGTTTCATAACAGACTAAAACTTTCTGTATATAGGTTATGATATATTGATAGTGAACAGTTCGCTTAGTATTCTTTCCTAGTAATATATTGATGTAGGTCAACTAAATCGAGTGTCTAAGTTCTGGGAAAAACTGCTTAGGATTGTACCCTAAAATAAATTAGCTATTATGTGTATTCAAAATCTGTTTATAATTTCTGCATTTTAATCAAACACTCACAAGATTCATACATTGTTCTGCACTCAAGAAGTACGTTGATATCTACTATAGGAGCAATTACTAGGTCAGGGGTGTCAAACTGGCAGCCCACGGGCTGGATGCATCATGTGTAGGCCATGCCCACCCCAACTCTGATAATGGGCAAAACGTCATGTGACGGCAACGTAACACAGCAAGTTTGAAACCATGCACTAGGTGATTCAAAAATTTTGAAATACATTCTTTTGAACCTTTCTTTTATATATAATATTTCCTTGTTTTCAAACATTTTACAATGCTTTTGAATACTGAAACCAACAGATTAACAAAAGAAAGAAAAATCAATTCAAATCAAGCATACAGTCTAGTTGTATTCTTTACAGGTCCAAGTCTGCCAATGGCAACTGTTGACATCAAAAATCCAGAAATCACTACTAATAGATTTTATGGTTCACAAGTCAACAATATCTCCTATACCAAAGAGAAGAAAAAAGGAAAAGCAAAAAAGAAAAAATTGACAAAGGCAGATATTGGAACTCCAAGCAACTTCCAGTAAGAATGCCTGTTTAATTTGTTAAGATTTCACTTTTACAAAAAAAAAAAAACCACAGATGTGTTTCTTTGCATTTCAGTAGAAAAACCAATCAGTTACATAATCCTACCTGCACAGCAAGAGTTCCTTGTATTAAATGTCCTACAATAATTACTCTTCAGTGCTTCATTTAAAAATCAAAGCCTTGATGGCTTATGTAGTTAGTGTTAGTATAACACTAAAAAGTGTTAGTATAAGAAAACACTATATTGAATCCACAGAAAGAAAGTGGAACAAAGAAGAGTGATGAACTCTAATAGAAGATAAAACCAGTACAGTATTAAATTATATGTCTTTCTTTGAAAGCAATTCTATGTATAGTGCTTCCCTTCCTTCCGTTGAGAGCCTCAGCATTTGCTAATTTTAGGGAGGATGAATATCAAGGTGATGGTATCTGATGAATTTATGGTTTGATTACTCCTGTCAAGAAAATTCTGAGCCATTTTTGGAGTCTGTAGAATTAAGTATAGAATTCATTTCATTATTATGTTAACATTTTCCATTTTTTTCTTAGATCAGGAAAATAATTATAGCATCTGTTTATCACTTTGCCAGTTATTTACTATATTGCAGTTGTCTTAACCTCATGTATCTAAAGCTTTCTTCTTCCTTGTTTCAGACACATTGGCCATGTTGGCTGGGACCCAAACACAGGTTTTGATGTAAGTAAGCATGGTGAAGATTTAAGTTAGTCTAATATGAAACTTAATTTCTCTGACTACTAATTCATTAGATGGACAGTCCTGTTGTTCTAGAACAAAAATAGAAAAGTAGTTTAACTGTGATCCGTGTATTTGGGTTGCAGTCTTCAACAATTTAACCCAAATTTATTTATTTCACAATTTAAAAAAATATCAGAAATTCATGTGTCTCAGAGATTTCAACCTTGTTCACTTATTTGGAATTCAGTAATTTGTGGGACATTTTTATACAAATTATGTCTCATTTAGTCACAAGAATGAATTTACAATTATCTCTGATAATATTTCCTGTAGGTTAACAATTTGGATCCAGAACTGAAAAACCTATTTGATATGTGTGGAATTTCAGAGGCTCAGCTGAAAGACAAAGAAACTTCCAAGGCTATATATGATTTTATTGAAAAAACAGGAGGAGTAGAAGCAATTAAAAATGAATTGCGTAGACAAGGTGAGTTTTCTCTTATTCATGCAGACTATTGATTATGCTTTTTAATCTCTACAGAAGATTTAGAATATTTAAATAGGGTAATTTAAAAAGTGCTCTGTTGATTTAAAAGTATATTTGCGCATTTGTTAAAATACAATTATAATACTAAGCCACACTTGCAAATATATCACTTTATACTACAGAGAATGTTTTCTATTATTTGAGCCATAAACTGTAGCCTATAACATATTGCTACAATTCATTTCAACAAACATCTTGATATTTCCCCAGTGGAACAACAAAGTCAAAAATAAGAATTCAAATTTTAAAATATACCAAGTAATGTAAAAACTTCTATACATCTTCATTCAATTATCATCATCATCAAATGTCTCTAATGGTTGAATATAATTTTTTTGGAGGACAAATAATAATTATAATATATTAGTAATAGTAGTAATATAATATTACAATACTTAACATTGTATGAGCACTGAATACATAAATACTTTATCATGCTAGAGTGAGGGTCATGCAGTATAGTATCAGTCTCATTTGGTTGAATATAAGATATGAGGGAACGTGTTAGACTTTATTATTATTTATCCCCCATTATTAACTTCAGTGAAAGTTAATATATGCTACATTTATAATTTAGGCCCACCACGCTGCAGTGGTATGTATGAATTCCGGTCTTTTTAGTTTTCATATACCTTTTTACTTAATAGGAAGACAATTCCTCCCCCCAAAATAATTAATTATGAATTAATAGTGTATACATTTGTTAGAGAGAGAGAAAGAATTAGCTTATATTTTCTGAGGAGTATAGAATACTCTGTCAAAATAGGTGGTGGCTGCATTCATCACTATTATGAAGGGTGAATGTCTAAGTGGATGGAAGGGAAGGTTTGCTTTCCCTATTCAGTTATCTTTCCCCTTTCTTCATGTCAGTCCAGTCTCTCTTACCCTCTAGCCACATTAGTTGCTATTTTTTTCACATTTTTGATGGTAGAAAAGAAGGAAACGTAGTTTATATATGACCTTGTATATTCCTGTGTGAAAGAGAATGATTGATGCATCCACTTGGAATCCAGTTTGTTTTATAAATGGAATACCTTTTTCAGGGGGAATTAGCTTGGATTAATTAGTTTGGTTTGGGGTCCCTCCCAAGTTCCATCCACCCAATTTTGCCTTTTTTTAAAAGTGTGGATTCTGATAACATATTTGTCAAAACATATATATGTGCATATACCCATATAAACACATGTTTTGGTGGCAGGAAAGCTCCATGATATTTTCAGCTGTAATTGGCAATCTCCATTTGGAAAGGTGAGGAAGCATGGTACACAATCTTTTGTCTGGATTCATAGGGATGTCTCTGTCCATTCTTCTTTCAGAGTTGTCTTCCTTTTGGGTAAACATGGTATTAGCATTTAAGTTCCAGCTATGATTTGTATACATAACTATGCTAGGCACAGTGACATTCTAATTAATCTTGCTAAGGATACTAACTGACTTATCTCAATACTTCTCCAATTCAGTATTTGCAGACTATGTGTAAGTCTTGTGTAATAAGAAATGATCACGGCTTGAATGTTTGTATCTTGCGGTCTTGATTAAACTATCTTGTGTAACTGATTTTTCTGATGTGTTTATATGCATTCTAATAGCAAGCCCCTCTACTTACGACAATCAATACTAGTCGTAGCTGAATGAAATGCATTTACCAATATAACTTTGTGACCAAACTGTTTAGTATGTGCTCTGGACCCGGTAGTGGTGGGGATTGTGTATTAAAAAATGAGTGTAAAATATGTGCAAATTTGCTTAGGTTTTTCACTATTCTAACTCTTCTGAAATTATAAGTAGCAAAGAAGATGATAATGAAGCTTCACATTATGTCTTGCATTTTGCCTGTGCACTTCCTTGCTTTAACTACTTGGAGTTTTCTGCATATCTTACCCAAACTGATCCTTTTAGCTTCCAAGTTATGGTAATTTACTGGATCTTATCTTTGAGCTATAACAGAACATATTCCAGTGCTTCAATTGATCATTTTCTGGGGCTGGAGATATAGTGATATGTATTTTGTCTTTTGTTTTAAATTTTATTATGCTTTACATTTTTTCAGTATGACAAATAGGTAATTCTTTTTCAAAACAAATAAATTATGAATATTCAACCTCTCCATAGATAAAAACATTGGCAGCAGGATGTAACATTTAAGTAAAAATATTGCCCATTGAATATATTTACTAGATATTAAAATAAAAGTTCATGTTGTTATAAGTGGTGAAAATAGTATTATCTCTTTTTAACAGATTGCACCAATAAATGTGAGTGGCAGAAAGTTAAACACAATTTAAGAGCATCTTCAGGGAGTATGTGAAGTATGGATGAATGCTTTTTAAATAATTGGTGTATTTTGAATACTGTCAGTCTTGGTGTCAGAGAGCTGTCTCATAGTGAATAAATACTCTTCTGTGTCTTTCAATTGTTTTTGTTTTCAGCTCCACCTCCACCTCCACCATCTAGAGGCGGTCCACCTCCTCCTCCACCACCACCACATAGCTCAGGCCCCCCTCCTCCTCCTGCTAGGGGAAGAGGAGCCCCTCCCCCACCTCCTTCGAGAGCTCCAATAACAGCACCTCCTCCCCCACCTCCTTCTAGACCTGGTACTATAGTGCCACCACCTCCACCAAACAGGATATATCCTCCTCCACCACCACTTCATTCTTCTGCCCCCTCTGCCCCCCCTCCTCCCCCTCCTCCCCCATTAGGTAGTGGACCTCCACCACCACCACCCCCACCACCACCTCCTGGTCCTCCTCCTCCACCTGGTCTTCCATTAGAGGTTGACCATCAGGTTCCAGCTCCTTCAGCAAATAAAGCAGCTCTTTTAGATCAAATAAGAGAAGGTGCCCAATTAAAAAAAGTAGAACAAAACAGTAGTCGTCCAGTCTCCTGTACCGGAAGAGATGCACTACTTGATCAAATACGACAAGGTATACAGCTGAAGTCGGTGAGTATCATTCTTTCTGGCTTCAAATTTCCTGATTATTTTTAAAGCCATTTTCCTCTATAGGCAGCCCTCGACTTACAATAGCAATTGGACTAAAAATGTGGTTGCAAAGCACGACTGCATCACTTAGCACTTGCAATCTTGCAGTCCTGACTGTTGTTACTAACCAAATCCCAAAGTAGTTAGACAAGACAACTTCCTGCAGGCTTCCCACAAGAAGAGGGGAAGTCAGCAGGAAGTGACAAGTCCTAGATAGACAGATAAGTGGCTGCTGCTGGGTGGGGGAGGGTGTGATGTGTGATGGGTGTGGATCAGGGAGATTGCAGGCAGATGCAAGAGTGTTTGCAAGCTTTTGAAATTTGATGATTGGTTATTATTTCCAAATTATTGGACAAAAATCTAATGCCTCTAAAATAAACCAATAATGAAAGAAAATGGGAAGATATAGCAGGGAAGATTTCCACAAACAAAACAAAATCATCTTATATACTGTACCTTCTACAAATATATTTGAATAATAACTAAATGAATTTGCCAAATAAGTAAGAGTTGTCCTTTCTGTGCTCTAGATGTTAAGTTTTGAAGTTCATTGTTCATCTTCCCCTGTTCAACTGATCTTTTCTCTAGTAGTCTTTTTAAGAGAGCTTATTTTTTTCAAAGAAGGTTCATTTTGGAGCTTTTTTCAGGGTTGCTGATGTTTGATACTTGTTTTATCTTTATGTACAAAAATCTGCATCCCAAATATCAAAAACTATTACTTTGGAAGTCTAAAATGTAGTTGATTTTAAACCTAATGCTTTTATCAGCCTGTTTTTTTTTTGTTTTTTTGTTTTTTTTTTAGAACGTCTCATATTTTACCACCTGTCAGACTTTAAGCATAAAATCTGGCTGAGTGACTTTGGTCCAGTCTTTCTTTCTCTCTCTCCCCCTTGTCTCTCTCTCCCCCCCCCCAAACTACCTCACAGGGTTTTTGTAGGGAAAATAGGAGGAAAAAGGGACATTAGATATGTTCACCCTCTTGAGTTATTTATAAAAATAATGAAGGATATATAAAAAATATATATTTCAGGCTTCTGAAAATAAATGATATATGTGCTGTTGTATTCATTCTTATATATTTAATGTTGCCTAAGGTATCTGATGGCCAAGAGTCTGTACCAACTACACCTGCACCTACATCAGGTATTGTGGGTGCACTAATGGAAGTTATGCAGAAAAGGAGCAAAGCCATTCATTCTTCAGGTAGGTCAGGAAATCAATATTTGATTTACTCCAATGCCATCAAGTAGGAAATAACTTTTTAGCTTTTATCTCTGCAGCAGTACTAGGTGCTCAGCATCTTCTGAAGCAAATTCTAATCTGTTTTATTCTCTTTGAGAAGTTTCATGAAAGGAATAACCTTTTAGCTTCGTGTCATTAAGATCCATTAAGCTGAATGTTTAAAGAAATGGTTTAAGAGTGAATGACAAAGTTCTGGCTTATGGAGATCCCAACAATAGGTCTCCAAACTAAACAATCAAACAAAGGCTTAGACATTTTGATTAGTTTTGCTCTGTCAGCTCTTCGGAAGGAAGGAAGGAAAGAAGGAAGGAAGGACGGAATCAGGACATTCTGTTTTTGAAATGAAAATAAAACATTACATAAGAGGAAATGTAAAGAGAAATGATGACTCAGGAAATAGGTTTCCTTTTCTTGAGTAACCTGTTGGCCAGAAATCATTGATTAGATTGACAAATGATTAAGAGATGCTCATAAATCTAGTGAGCTCAGTCTCCAGCTTTGGGATATATTTGTCAATGCACGAGTACTTAGCCAAACATTAAAATTTAATTAAGATTATCTCCTTTTTACATAATGAATAATTTATCACTTTAGCAGTCAGATTAACTCGATGACCCTTTTTAACAACAAATTTAAACTTTTTACTCATGGCCGTGAATTTTCACCTGTGCTTTCCTTTTTCACAATCAAAACTGAGAAAACACTTCTAAAACCGGAATCTCATACTTTGATCAATTAAACTTAAATTCAACCCAACAAGTTGACAGAGAATCACTGAAATAGTAGGGCAATTCTGAACCCAAAACAACTTCTTCATTAAGGCCTTCACTTATAAATTAGAAGTCAAGTTTGTGCCTTTAGTGTGTGATTGTTTCATCTAACACCTAGATCCTAATTTGCATAGACATTTACCTTTAACGGTACAAATGCTGGTTAATTGATACGCACCATAATAAATTTACCAATAATTGTCTTAAGTTATTAAGACTTTTAAGTTTTCTTTCCAAATAACTATTTTTGTATCTACAGATGAAGATGAGGATGAAGATGATGAAGAAGACTTTGAAGATGATGATGAGTGGGATGACTGATCAATATATTATATCTTATATATATTTTTACGGTGAAATACTAAACTTTCTGTCTATGGATTCTGTAAAATTATCATGTAAATGTTTTACCAATTTACTGTATATTTTTGTTGCCTTTTGCTTTTTTATTAATCTGTGCAATACCTCATTTAATCTGTAAAGGTTTGTCATCCTATACAAGGCTACTCCCTTCTTAATATGTAAAAGTTTACATCGGATGCCTAGTGTACATGTGAATACTTTCCATTCCATCAATAAGGGAGTTTTAACGTAATCTGTGAGATTGACAAACACACCTTAAATGTATTTAGTTATAATTGCAAGAAGGAAAACACTATTTTCATACCCTACTTTTTCTGTATCTAGATTTTCTTATTAAAACCTAATATAGCACTACATACTTTAAGCAATGCAGCTCCTAGTTTTAGCCTCTTCATCTGGGAAACTCTGCTTCATGGATGAGGCTGATAAAATGAAGAGCATTTCAATTCATAACACTACCATTCAGATTTAGTCTTCAAGCTGTAAAGCAATCACTAGAAAAATTAAGTGATCATGAAAATTTTCCCTGATCCAGAGCATTGTTGCCTATATCAGAGCTTTGATACCTGAATGCTGAATTTAAGAATAGACTTTTTGGTCAATAAATCTGATAGAAACCACCTTTGTGACTTTTCCCAACTGTCGTTCATGACAAAGAGGAGTTTTGGCAACTGCTGCAGTCGTTATTTATTTTTATATAAGGTTTTTTACTGAAGGGCTGTAGTTGATGTTTGCTTTGAATAATAATGGTTGTAAATTATTTTTTTTTAATGTAGGGCATTGGTATGCTAATAAATGAACTTAAGTAGTGTAACTCTGCAGTTTTCATGGATTATGGGACATGTCAACACAGTTAGACACTGGATCCTATAACTAAAATAAATAAAGATGGAGCCTTAAACCTATACTTGATTGCTTGTGACAACACTAGATGATAAATACTGTTGCTAGAAGGCCAATGAGCATCTGGCTGTGTTTCTATTTTTCTGAACTTGGCCTCTATTTGTGTTATCCAGATCAGTGGGTGGGCAATCTTCCATCAAATACAGTATTTCTCATGGGCTCCTATGGCTATTCAAGCATGTGGGTCACTGTTGCCTTGTTTCCTTTTGACACTAAATTTCTAGACTTCAAAGCAAGAGTAAACAGAGCTAATTGAACTATTTATCTTTTGCTTTGAGGGGGAGAGATTCACTACTATAAGGTTTATAAGCCACTGTTTTTTATATATACCAAATTTGCACATTGCAGTATTTCACTAGAAATAAGGGATATGGTCTTAAAAGTTGGGTGGTCCTGCGTTTGGAATTGCATTCCAATACATGATGGGAAAATTTGAGTTTTTATTTTAATTTTTCATCTTTACTAGGAGACTTACTGTTTGGACTATCTGCTTATTTTTCATGCAGTATTGCATTTAAGATAAGCTTTATCAATGCTAATACTCTACTCTCAGTAAGAATACACTTAATAAATGCAGAAGGTTTCAAGTGAGACATACTTGGAGTACAATTAATCCCTGCTTGCTTCCTTCTTCATTTTTCTTCTATCCATGACATATTGGATGGAATTATCTTTATTAAAATCCAGTGTTGGCCTGATCTTGGCAGGCTGGACCTGCATGATTTGGCCTGGACGTTTAATGCAATTATAATGTATGTCTAGTATTTGGATTTTTAATTCTGTAAGAAGGATGGGATTTAAAGAGTATGTTGATGAAAGAAGAAGTGATAAGCAGAAGTTTATTCCAAAGGGAATAACTTTAATTTGATGCAAACAACTTGGAAAGGAACATTTTCAAAGTATCTTCATTTCAGTTGTATCTCTGGCGCTGCTTTGTGCTAGAACAACTTTTCAGTTAGCATTGCTGCTAGTGGGCTTGAGGATTGTGAGTATGTAATGATGCTATGAAGATGGGTTAAAAGTTATGCACATGACAGAAAATGTTAGTCGCCTACAGAACAGCCTGTAGGCTTTCTGCTCTAGTTTCATAGAGGGGCATTTAAAGAGTTGATATTGCTCAATTGGTCTTCAGCAATATTACTTGTAAATTAAGCACATGCTTCTAAAGTTGGAAGAGTTTGAAAAGAGATACTATTTTGAGGATACTTGTATAATCCATTAATCACTTACCCAATACTTCCCCCCCCTATAGAAAGTATATCTACGTTATTGCACAAACATTCAACTGTTTTGCTTTCAATAGCATATTGTATGGTTTTAATTTAAAGCATGACCGCAGTTACAATTAGATTTAAGGTCACAGCTGCATGTTTCTACTTTCTTGCTCTCGGTGTGGGCAGGAGGCAATGTTTCTTCTCATTGAATCACTACTGCTAATTCTTGCAGCCAGGGCAGCCTTTTGCATCAGTTAAATTGACTGTCCGTGTAGCCTTGCCAAGTAGTGAATGAGCCTGAGGACTGTCTCTAAACATTGCGCTTAGACAATAGCATCTAGCGACTTGTACTCTGAAAACATCTCAATCATTCAGTTTTCCATTTCATCAAATTGAACTTCTCGGTATGTGAATTTTCTTTTTGGCTCTTCTTTTTCCTCTTCTTTGGAAATGTACAGTGAATAGGATGTTGCACTGGTGGCAATTCATCATGAAGCATAATAAAATTAATTTGTCTCAGTTTAATAGTATGGTGTGACTTTTATGACTTCACTTAAAGGGTGGATTGAAATTGATTGTGTTGATCAGAAATTGTTCCAGATATTTCCTTGACTTCAACAAATAACTTACATATGTCTATAGCATTATAATGGGCTAATTAAGATGACTGGCAGTATATAAATGTTCTGATACTTCTTCCTAAAATTTTCGAAGGGAAAACATGGCAAACGAGGGATACCCTTCTCTTCCCTCCCCCCCCCCTCAAAAAAAGCTGATTCAGCAGGACTCTTCTGCTCCCCATTCTCACCCTAGGACCATTGCCATCGGATGCCGAATAAGATAAGACAATGTCATTTTTTTTCTGTGAACACACTGGCACACATTAGAAAATGAAATTCTATAGAAAGGATCCAGATTACTTTATTTCATAGTAAATAAGTATCCAACAAACATTTAAAAACAATTATTCATTTTGTTTATAGCATGCTAGGGAAATATTTATAATACTAATTCTCTTAATAATAGTAATGACAATATAAATGACAGATTATTGGACTAGAATTCTCAGAATCATCAATGAAATTAGACGTACTGATTTAGAATTCTTGAGGCTGAAAACCAACGCATACAAAGTGACTGGTTGAAGAAGTCTAGCCTTAAACCAGTGATTCTTAAACGGGGGGGTTATTAGAGTGAAACACTGGGGTCTCACTCTCCCTTTACCACTTCTGAACAACAGCAGAATGGAGGCCATTAAAATGGGGGGGGGGAGAGTGTCATTCCAAACAGTAAAGTATGGAAGCTAACTGAATGTTTCTTCCAAATAAGCCACTGCAATCTGCAATTACTATAATTACTAGCAGGCAGGTTTTTTTCAAGAGTAGAAGGAACAGCTGAAATAGGATTAAAAATTACATGCTGAAAAGGATTCCACTAAGACTGATTAAATTCAAATCCTTAATATTAAATAAAAATATTTAAAGAGTTTCAAAATCTGATATCTTTAATAGAGTTCAATATACAATATTCAAATGATTTCCTTGCAATGGCTTGTGTGGCAGTTGTGCCCATTTTTGGATCAGCAGGCCCTGCCTGTAATCACTCATATCCTAATACCTTCAAATTAGATTACTGCAATATACTTTATATGGTGAAGTCTGGGCACTTATGTGTGCTCCCAGAACAGCTTTTATTACACCTGAGCTCCATGAGCTGCATTGGTTGCCAGTTTGTTTCTGGGTCCAATTCATGGTACTGGTTTTAACCGTTAAAGCTCTTCATGGGATGCGGCTGGGCTACTAAGGAACCGCCTCCTGATTTACATCAGCCTGACCCATTGGAGAAGGCATGCTTACCATTAGCTAATAATCTACATTTGGTGGGTCCCAGTGCCTTTTCTGCTGTGGCCCCCACCTTATGAAACATCCATCCCTTCACAATTAGATTGGTCCCATCCCTTTTGATATACTGAAAAGCCCTGCAGACCTGATTAGGCACTCCAGGAACTGTAGTGGAACTGGAAACTTGTCTAGATGGCTTCTTCATTAAGGGACCATTTTTTATTCCCCCTTCACCAATGGTTTGTATTTTTGGTTTTTATATTTGTATTTGTTATCTATTTTCTGTTTTTTTTATTGTACACCACCCAAAGTCGCCTTCGGTGAGATAACCATACAAATTTAATTAATCAACAAACTGCATGGAGAAATATTTCTTCCCCTTGGTCTTCTTCACTGTGATATACAAACAGCACCTACTGCAAAAATTTTGAGGAGTCAAAGGAGCATTAACTCCATGAAGAATGTATGGGCATGTATGCAGGTAGTCCTTTGGATCACAATTTGGACAATAATTTCTGTTGTTAAGCAAGGCAATTATTGAGTTGCACCTGATTTTTTGCCATGGTTGTTAAGCAAATCATATGGTCATTAAGTGAATCCAGCTTCCCCTGTTGACTGCTTGTTGAAAGCCAGCTGGGAAAATTGCAAATGATGATCATAATACCTTGGAACGCCGCATCCTTCATAAACATGTTGATCACCAATGTCCAAATTTTGATCATGTGACCATAGAGATGCTGCAATAATCATGACGGGACTGGTTATAGGTCCCTTTTATCAATGCTATTGTAACTTCAAATAGTTGCTAAATGAATAGTTGTAAGTCAGGGACTACCTGTATATCTCGTACTTTTCATTTCTCAACATATAACTTGGGGAATGATCTGACAATGCAAATTATTTTGCTTAATATCAACCTTTAGAAGTATGGTACTTATTTCAAAAGAACATTGGAATGGTAAATAGGAGGAAATGGAGAAAAAATAATAAAAGTTCTATATGGCATCCTTCATTTTAAACACGAAGTACAAGAATTCTGCAGTATTCCTTTATTTCTGTAAATGAAAGTAGTAATTGTGTCTGTTTCTTCACTGCAAGTTACATGAACTTACAGAATACAACATAGAGTTGCTTATTTTCTATTCCATATCTCCTTTTTAATGGGCTTGTAGTAACTACCTTAACTTCGTATTGATTAATAGACTACTTTGGGAGTCATTCCAGTTGGAGAAGTAAAAAAAAAAAGCTGTAAAGCTAATATATTAGAAGCCAAAATGAACTGGTATCCTGGTCTCCCTGTTAATATTTTATGTAAAATGAACACAGTAATTATTTGAAATGTAAAGTTGCTGATCTGCAAGTTACTGATAGTTTGCAAGATTTGGTTACAGTTTATTTTCCAGTGTTAGTGCCATATACTGTGAACCCCACGTAAGCATCAGGAAAGGCATCCAGCCAGTAAACGCTCAGCTCTATCAACTGAGCTTTATCCATCAAATTAAGGGACTACAGGATCATAAAAAGAAAAAAAGTGGAATAAATGAAAAACGTCTACAGTAAAGTAAACTTAGTGTAATTATTTTAAATCAACATCAACACCATTGTCTGTCCACCAGGTCTCTTCCACATGTTTCCAACTAAATACGGTCCTGAGCTTTCTTTTGCCAATTGGGTCCACAATACCTGCTGATATCATTGATCCATCTTGTTTTAGGTCCCTTTCCTGGATGCTTTTTATCAAGTGGGATCCATTCTATGACTGCCTTGGTCCACCTGCCATCAGTTCTTGCTATATGACCAGCCCATCTCCATTTCAATTCTTTTACTCTCTTGATGATATCGTATCGTTTGTTCTCTAATCCATGTGCAGGACTTTCTATCTTGTCTTGTAATCCCAAGCATGTATCTTTTCATGGCTCTTTGCACCAATCAAAGCTTTTGTATCAATTGTGAGGTTCATATCCATGTTTCACCAGCATACGTTAGAGCAGGTAGCATAACTGATCAAAAACTTTTCAGACATAGAGGTTGTTCTTGAAAATTATGCTTAGCTTGCTGAATGCCTCCCAACCATATTTAACAAGCAATTCAATTTTCTTTATTATATCATCTTCCATTGAGATCTGCCGGCCAAGTTATATATAGTGGTCTTCTATGTCTAATTCTTCTCCAGTTATAAACATTTTTCTTTGGTGAATTTATGAAACATAACATGGCTCTTTGTCAGGTTTATTTTTAAGCCAAATGGTTCTGCTTCGTGCAGCTCTTGTATGTATCTTTGTAGTTCTGGGTCTTGTAGGAAGAGAACAACATCATCACCAGGCTCAAGGCTGACTCAGCCTTCCATCCTTCCGGCGTAGGTAAAATGTCCCAAATTGTTGGGGGCAATATGCTGACTCTGTAAACCGCTTAGAGAGGGCTCTAAAGCACTGTAAAGCGGTATATAAGTCTAAGTGCTATTGCTATCTGCAAATCTTAAAGTGATTTAAATAGGCACCATTGATTTTTATTCCATCTTTTGCCCAGTCTAGTTTGGGAAATACTTCTTCAAAGCAGGCTGAGAAAAGGATAGGTGATATTGTATCGCCTTGTAGTACACCTCATTCTATGTTGATTTCCATCATTAAGGCAAATTGTCACCATTGTTTTTCACATATTGATTGTAGTAAGTTTATGTAAGCAGTGACTATGCCTTGGTTGAGCAATGCATTAATTATTGCTTGCTGGAATACTGAGTCCAACACCTTTTCATAGTTGCAGTGAAAGCCATGCACAGAGGCATGGTGTAATCATGCCTTTTAATGATTTGCTAAACAACCTGGATGTGATCCATTGTGCTGTAGCCACAATGTATCCCTGCTTCCTCCTTTGGCTGTGCGTCATTTAATGTCCTCAATATTCTTTTTGCTAATCTTATTGAAAACCCTGTAGATGACTGAGAGAAGGCTTATTGGGTGATAGTTCTTTAAATCAACTTGGGCCTCTTTCTTGTGTATAAGAATCACTTTAGCATTTTTCCATGTATCAGGTATTTTTTCTTCTCTGAGGCATCTCGAGTATCTTGTGTAAACTGATCACCAGCTTTCAGCATTTCAACCATAACACAGTCATTTCCTGAAGCTTTGCCATTTTTCATTGATTTTATGGCACTTGACACTTCCTCCACTAGGATATCTGGCATTTCCTCTTTTGTGGGTGTTGTTACTTTTGAGTGATCTTGATCCTGGCCTAATTTTTTAAGTGTTTTTAATTGTTTTGTTTATTGTTTTTAATTAATGGGGCCAAATTTATATATATTTTTAATTGTATTTTAATATTTGTACTTGATGTTTTTACTTGGCTGTTCACTGCCCTGAGTCCTCAGGGAGAAGGGCGGTATACAAATTCAAAATAAAATAAAATAAAATAAATAAAAGTATAGCTCTGAATAGAATTTTCCAATTATTTCTAACATTTCTATCTTGTTCTACACACAGTGCCATCTTCACATTTTAATGTGAAACCCTTCTTGTATGTATAAGCTTGCAGTTTGCTCTATTAATCCCTTTGTTTTCTTCAATTGTCGTCTTCACAAGCTTCACATTAAACTGACACATTTCTTCTTGGATACATTTTCTTATGGTCTTGCAAAATTCAACATACTCCAGTTTATTAGGGAAACTTCCGATATTCTTCATTGTCCAT